GCTTCCCCAATTTGCCAGAACTGAACAAATATAATCATACATTCAAGTAGCTGTTTGTGAACATCTTTGTGGAAAAATATTCAGTGTTCAAAAGGGTTGTAACCTCCACCAGTTTTTGGTAAACGTATTCAGGGGAACCAAGTGTGGCTCTTTTTTTGGCCTGATTTAAAATGAACCAAGCTGATTAACTTCAACAGTTCAGATATGTTCCACAACCAGTTCACAGGGCTTCTGTGAAACACACTGAGGGTCAAGCCACCATTAACTTGCTCACGGTTAAAGCACAGGACATAAGTGTCCAGGGAATCCATGATGTGTTCTATTTAATTTCTTAGAACAATTCAACTCCCGGTGATAGATGCAATGACCTACCCCCATGTCCTTGCCAAATGTTTCCACCTTGGATCAAAGTGTCCTGCCAAGTCCCCTGTGATTACCACAACCGTCCACAGTTGTGCTTAAGAATTCTTGCCAGTCTATGTGAATTTTTCTCAATACAAAAAAAATAAGTCATTTCCCAGCATTGGGCCTGTCTTGGCACCAGGTCACAGACTTCTTCGGTCACATCAAAATTCTCAACACCACAAATAAATAAAGCTAACTGGGTGGTAATAAGTTTATGAGCAGCGATAGAAAAGGCCACAATAGATTTGACTCTTTCAAGCAACAGGACTTGTAAATCCTCCGATTTATCTTCAACTCACTGTGCAACACAAACGCCCATTGGACTTAAATAATGGGACAGTCGTATGTTTCGCCATCTGTTGTAGGTTTTAATGCCCAGATAATTCTTTTCTTGTTACTCTGGCACGGCATACTCTGGCCATGCCACTTCTAGTACTCAATTTCCAAAGCAAACACTATTGACATTTCAGTCCCTTCTTCAGTTCATTGAGGATCGCATCTCGAGTCTGTTCCGTATACTGGTCATAGCTCTTACTATGCTTTGATTCGTAATGACGTTTCAGGTTGTATTCTTTCAACACAGACACGATTTTTTTGCATATTAAACACGTAGGCATGCTCTTCACTTCCACAAAGAAATAGGCTCGCTCCCATTTTTCTCGAAACACGCGGCCCTCTCCGTCTCTCTTTCGTTTTGCCACTTTTGATAAGAGACATGGGTACAAGAAAGATTTCACTTTCCTCTGAAAGCTACCACAGGAACAAACACAGTGCAAGCCCAGTGACAAAGGCAGTGACCCTCTGCCTCATGGGGGAGCCAAGAGGGAATAGTGGGGACTGTGGCGAACTGGAGAGCACACACCCCACTGAGAGGGGCAGCTCCAGCCCACTGTTGCCAGGCACAAGGGCAGGCCTGGGGGTGCCAAATCTTCTGACTTGTCAAGAGAAACCAAGACTACAGATTTTATGTGTGTGTGTGTACAAATGACTCTGATTTTTACAACTAACCCATAAGGAAAAAGTACCACATATGCTAACACAGGGAAGGCCAAACAAAACTCATCTGTAGAATGGCCCATAGGCCACCAGATTGCAACCTCTCTCCTGGGGTGGGGCCCATGAATCTGCATGTTAACCAACATCCAAAATGACGCAGATGCTGGAAGTCCTGGTGTGGACAACACTCTGAGCCAACACTGGTTCAGATTCTGACAAGAGACAACTAACTCTGTACCTCCACGAGAGACCACTCTATACTTCAGATTGTCTCTATCCAGCTGTCCCCTGGACATCTCTGAGGACATCCTTTCGGTCCCTCACCTCACCACATTCCAAATCAACCTGTTCCCTGCCAGGTCTTCTATCTTGAGAACAGCCCAATTGCCACCCCACCCAAAGCCCCAGGCCAGCCTCTGACTAGGACCCAGAGCCTGTCCTCTCCACATACAATCCTGTCTGCTTCTAGGGCTTCAACCACCACATATACACTATCCCCTAAGAACATGTCCTGAGCTCCTAGCATAGCATCTGTCACTTGGATGCCCCTAGAACAATTTGCATTATCAGCTCCTTCTCCTAGAAGACCCACCATCTACCATAACCCAGGCCTAGACCAAGGAGCCACCCTTGACCTCACCCCCACTTAACCCCACTTCCTTGACATGGCCCACCAATGCCCAGCCTCATACCTCCTGGCTTCCTGCCTTGCCTTGTCACAGTTTAGCGATGTCTGTCACCCAGAGCCACCCCCTGGTTATAGCCTCCTATGGCTCCTATGTACCCAGGACAAATCTCCAGGTGTTTGGTTTGGAATCTGAGCCCCTCACTCTGCCCATCTCTCCAGCTTCTCCCTCATGTTCCAGAAGCATCCATCAACTTGCTCCTTTGAATGGCCTAGGCTTCCTCTAGCCTTTGCACATTCATTTCTGCTGTTCTCTATACCCAGATTGTCCTGTGCCTCCTTCCCTCCTACCTCACTGATAGCTCCTTCTTTTTCAGTCTGGGTGAGTCACCTCTTCCAGGCTCTCAACGTGGCCCCTGCTGCCTCCATGACAGCATATGTTATGAGTGCTACCTGCCTGCCCCTGCCATCTTCCCCGGACCAGGCTGACCAGACTGCCTCTGACTCAACACTGAGGCCCGGGTATCACAAACCCAGGCCTCAGGGATGTCTGCTGAAGTGAGAACAAGAACAGAAATGTCTCCCCCAGGTCTCCTCTTGCCCAGTCCTGGGGGACGTCAGTGACGGGAGCCGGGGCATGTGTTAAAAAGGAACTTTATTGGGTGCTGGGGGTTCAGATGAGATCCATGAGGATGTCGTCCTCCATGACGCTGGGCTGCAGGCCCGGCTGGGGGACCGGGCCCCGGGGAGCCCCGCTCAGCAGCATCTGACCTGGGGGGCAGTGGGAAGGGACTGCATCTCCCAGTAGTCCCTGGGGCCTTGGAGGCCCTAGGGTACTCAGTATTCTAGAAAGCCCTAGGGGACCCATCAGAGGTACCTTCTGACCCCATCTGGTTGCAGATATGTTCTTTCCCATAAGACTCTGGGAACCCTTCCCCCAAACTACTTCTTGGCCCTAATATCACACTTCCCAGCAACCTCAGGATACACAGGAGAGGATCATGGGAAGACATCTTGACCCACTAGGTCCTTAGACCCATTTGCTGGACTTGCCAGTAGCCCTCAGAGCTCCTCAGGGCCATGGGGAAACCCCAGGTTTCTGGATCCCAGAACTTCACTTCCCAGGAGCCCTTGGTCTTGGTGTTCTAGCCCAGGGGCTGCTGGGATACTCAGTCCAAATCTCTGCCCTCCCCCTATGCCCCCTTACCTGGTAGTGGAGCCCGAGAGGGAAGCTGTGCAGGCCAGGACTGGGCAGGTGGCGGATGCAGGAGAGGAGGCCCCAGCTGGGGCTGCCCCAGGCCCTGGTGTGGTGGGGGCAGCAGCGCAGGAGCCCCAGGAGGCTGGAGGTGGTGGAGGGAGGCCTGGGGTGGGGGCACCCCAGTCTGGGGCTGGGAGAACAGAGGGTAGTTCAGAGGCTCCTGGGGGAAAGCTCCCCTACCCCTCTGCCATCCTGCCTCTGGCACAGATGCTACACACAGAATAGATCAACCAGAGGTATGAGAAGGCCCTTCTTCAAAGACTCTTGGCAGAAGCCCATGTAAAAGGATGAAGAGGAGGTAGTCTGCCTGGAGCCCTTGTTGTGTCTCCATTCACACCTACCGACCAAAGCCAACCTCCCTCCTCCCAGGTAAAAGGACTAAAATGTCAGAGGCTCCTATCCACCCACACCCACATCTCACCGGTGGTGGGTTGAGCAGGAGGCTTCGCAGTTGGGGGTTAGCCCCAGGGTTCTGGGGCCGAAGGATGGGTCCAGGAGGGGGTGGGCCGGGGGCAGCTCCAGGAGGGCCTTGAGGAGCACCAGGGGGAGGCTGGGTAGTACCTTGAGGCTGGGGCTGCCCTGTGGCCCCAGAGGCCCCCACGGTGCCCTGATTCTGGGGCTGTGGTGGGCGAAGTTGTAGCTGGAAGAAAGAGAGACAGGGGTGAGGGAGAAGGGGAAGGCCTCCCCAACCCTCATGTGGGCACGATGAGCATCCTCTGTGACCTTCCCTACCCCATCCCTGACCCCACCAGCCCTGTCCTCACGAGATTCTGTGATGGCCTTGGTTGGTCTTCCAGAATGGGACCTAGACCTGGAGGTGCCTGCTGTCCCCCCATCTGCACAGGAAGAGAGGGGGCAGGTCAGTGACAGGAGTAGGGTGGGAGGTGGTATACTGAATCCAAGACAGGAGGATCCTTAACCCTGAAGGGAACTCATAGGAGCTGGGGACATTTTCTCTGGGGATGAGCAGTCTAAGAAGGCAGACTGATGCTCCCAGTTCCCCAGGAGGAGGCTGTGTGCCAGGGATTTGAAGTAGATGCTGAAAAGGGAAAGTATGGTTGCAAGATAATATGGGGTGGGACTAAGCTCAGGGAGGCCACATCTTTGGTGAACAGTAAACAGTTGTGGTACCAGAGACCCAGGAGGGCCACTGGGGGGACAAGGCTGTCTGAGCTCTGGAGGCCCAGGCAGGAAGAAGGGGGAGCGCAGAGTTGGGAGGGGCCGTCATTACTCACCCCTCGCTGTTGCTCCAACTTCTGCTGCTGGACCTGCTTGTGGTTGGTGATGACCTGCCGGATGCCATTGACAAAGCCACTCTGATCATAGGGGATAAGGCCCATGAAGATCTTCTTCTTGGATGAGTACAGCAGCATAAGCACACGCACCTCGCAGGGAGCTGTATGTGGGAAGTGCACGCAGCCCGCCTATGGGGACAGAATCTCTTCAGAATACAGTTCTACCTTTCCACATTCTAGAAGGTTCTGGAAGCTCCACAGGTAAGGGGAAGCAAGGTTTCTGTTATAAAAGGTTGAGGAGACCGAAGATATTCAGCGGACATACATGATCAGTGACTTGCCATCCTTCTTCATAGAACATAGGATGCCTATAGCCCTGAGAGGTACTTTATGACCAGGAAGGAGAGGTCAAGAGAACCACAGGGGCAACTGGCCTGACACCATGGAGCTAAAAATCCAACTCCTAATAGCTGCTCACGTCTAGACACCCTGTTATGTGTAAAAATTAAATGCCTGCCCTTTTTTTTTTTGAGACAGAGTCACTTTGTTGCCCTCAGTAGAGTGCCATGGTGCACGGTGTACCTTACAGCAACCTCAAATTCTTGGGCTCAAGTGATTCTCTTGCCTCAGCCTCCAGAGTAGCTGGGACTGTAGGCACCTACTACAACGCCTGACTATTTTTTTTAGAGACGGGGTCTTACTCTTGCTCAGGCTAGTTTTGAACTCCTGAGCTCAGGTAATCCACCTGCCTTGGACTCCCAGAGTGCTGGGATTGCAGGCATAAGCCACCTGCCCTGTTCTAAATGCCTGCTTTTATAATATTTGCTCCTGGGACACTAACTCTCAGAACCCAGCTGCCATGCTGTGAAGAAGCCCAAGCCACACAGGCAGGCCACATGCAGATCAGACCGACAGTCCCAGCTAAGTCCCCGCTGACAGCTAGTACCATGTAAATAGGCTATTTTGCACAGTTGAGCTTTCAGATCACCACAGTTTCAGCTGCCATCTGATGGCAACCCCATACAAGTTCCCAAGAATGGTCCACTAGGCTGGGCGAGGTGGCTCACGCCTATAATCCCAGCACTTGGGAGGCCAAGGTGGGTGGATTGCTTAAGCTCAGGAGTTTGAGACCAGCCTGAACAAGAGCGAGACTCTGTCTCTAAAAATAGCTGAGTGTGGCTCGGCGCCTATGGCTCAACCGGCTGAGGCGCCAGCCACGTACACCCAGGGTGGCGGGTTCGAGTCCCCAGCCCGGACCCGCCAAACAACAATGACGGCTGCAACCAAAAAAATGGCCGGGCGTTGTGGCGGGCGCCTGTGGTCCCAGCTACTTGGGAGGCGGAGGCAGGAGACTCGCTTGAGCCCAGGAGTTGGAGGTTGCTGTGAGCTGTGATGCCACGGCACTCTACCCAGGGGGACAGCTTGGGGCTCTGTCTCAAAAAAAAAAAAAAAAATAGCTGAGCGTTGTGGAGAAAGCCTGCAGTCCCAGCTACTCAGGAGGCTGAAGCAAGAGAATCGCTTAAGCCCAAGAATTTGAGGTTGCTGTGAGCTGTGATGTCTACCGAATGCAACAAAGTGAGTTCTGTCTTAAAAAAAAAAAAAAAGAAAAAAAGAACGATCCACTAAGCCCAGCTGACCCACAGAGTTATAAGAGAAAATTTCTGTTTGTTGCCCCCAACCCTAATTATCTATTTGTACTAAAAATGCTACTGGACAGGTTTATGTTACTTGTTGCTGAAAGCATTCTTCCTCTCAAGAATGGCTTCTACAGTCTTTGGAAGAATGGCTCGAGTAATCTACCTCAAGTCCTCTCTCCTGGAAAGGTGCCTGGTATATAGATAGTAACTGGATCTGCTCCTGTTTAGAAAAGCCCTTTCCCAATGTTAGGAGTTGAATAGTGTCTTCCAGAAAGATGTCACAGTTCCAATTCCCCAGCACCTGTGAAGGTGACCTTATTTGTAAACAGGGTCATTGCAGACGTGGTAAGATGAGGTCATTAGAGTGGACTAATCCAAAATTACTGGTGTCCCAAAGGTACATACACATAGAATGCCATGTGACAACAGACACATAGAGAACAGTTGTGCAACGATGATGGCAAGGAGACTGGAGCAATGCTCCCTAAAGTCTGGGGTTGGCAGCTGAAAGAAGCAATGAAGCCCTCCCTGAGAGCCTTAAAAAGACTATGGCCTTGCTGACAACCTGATCTGAGACTTCCAACCTCCAGAACTATGACATAATCCATTTCAGTGCGTTTAAGCTCCCTACTTTGTGACAGTGTGTTACAGCAGCCACAAGAAACTAACATACCCATAAACCCATCAGAATCAACAGCTTCCTCCTAATTGCTCCTGTCACACCTGGTCACATTTTTAATGTGGAATGTCCCTCAATCTTGTGCATATTATAATGGTAATAAAAGTTAAGACTTTGAGGAAAGATTAGGAACCTAAGCTCACAAGGCCATTCAACCATCAAAAATGGCTACCTCGGCTCGGCGCCTGTGGCTCAAGTGGCTAAGGCACCAGCCACATACACCTAAGGTGGCGGGTTCGAATCCCCAGCCCGGGCCCGCCAAACAACAATGATGGCTGCAACCCAAAAATGGCCAGGCGTTGTGGCGGGTGCCTGTGGTCCTAGCTACTTGGGAGGCTGAGGCAGGAGACTCGCTTGAGCCCAGGAGTTGAAGGTTGCTATGAGCGTGATGCCATGGCACTCTACCCAGGGGGATAGCTTGAGGCTCTGTCTCAAAAAAAAAAAAAAAAAATGGCTACCTCAGGGCGGCGTCTGTGGCTCAAAGGAGTAGGGCACCAGCCCCATATGCTGGAGGTGGTGGGTTCAAACCTAGCCCTGGCCAAAAACAGCAAAAAAAAAAAAAAAAAAGAAAAAAAACAAACAAAAAAAGGCTATCTCAGGCCCAGGGACCCTGAGGATTCCCATCAAAGGATAAAACAGTGGACAAACTAGTTAGCGCCCCAGCCCCACCCCGCCCTGCCCTGCCCAGGACTCACAAAGCCATTGCCCATAATGCGGTAGAGGCCTTTTAGAGACTCCAGATCCTTGTTGGTGAAATGAAACTGGACCATCCTTGAGTTCCGGAACAAAGGGCCCAGGGTGGTCTAGGGGAGACACAGAAGTCAGCCAGTGTGTTGTGTGGGGAAGTGAGGAGGGGACACGAAGCAGACAGGAGGAGAGGCAGAAAACAGGGTGAGAGCTTTCTGGTAGGGTGGGACCCCATCTGCACTCACCAGAAGCTGCTGGGGGATAAGCTGCATGATCAGCTTCTGGGGCCACTGCTCGGTCTTCCTGGGGGCAATGCCATGAGATGTCAGGAGGGGCAACCCCCAGCCTCACCCCACCCTGCCCCTGAAAGTCACCTACAAGTTCTCTCCATGATTCACATAGACCTGGCAAGGCAGTGACCGTGTCAGCTTGGTGTTGGCATCCACTGAAGCAGGTTTAGGTTTCTGAAAAGCAAGATGGGCACTGACAGTGAGAAGGGCCTTATAGCTCAGTCCTCTGACTCTCCTATCCCACCCTGGCAACCCAAAACTCAGGACATCCAGGATTTCTCACAAATCCTGGACCCCTCCTCCAGACCATTAAATCCCATATTCCTCTAGCCTTCAAATTCCACAAATGTTGGGACTTCTCTTCTGGCTCCTAAATCCTACAATCCACTATTCCCCAGATGCCACAATTCCCTGGGCCCCTGTCTGAACCCTATGTCCTAGGCCTTTCTGGGTTTTTCACCTGTAGCACAATTCTTAACACCCCTCTAGTCCTGAACTAAGCCACTACTCCTGTGGTTTCTGGGGACTCTCATCTGGATTACAAGTCCCAGAACTCCATGTCCCTTACCGCCCCAACCTGGCCCTGTATCCTACACGTCCAGCAGCAGGAATCCCACCAATTCCAGCACTCTATAAATTCTGCAGGCTTAATCTCTGGTCACACACACACCCAGTGCATCCTCAAGCCCACTCACCTCCTGCCACTCAAGAACCCCGCTCCAAGCCAGAAGTTTGTTGGTCACTGACTGCTGCCCACTGAGGGCTGGGGCCCCTAGCTGGGCTGGAGAAGGGCCGCTCACTCCTCCTGGGGCCACCGTGCCTGCCTGCCAGAGAGGAAGAAGGAGGGCAATGAGGGTAGGAACAAATGGCCTCCTTAGAGGGACTGTCCCAGAAGAGGTGCAAACCAGGAAAGTTCTCTTCTTCTGCATCCCCATCTCCAGAACAGCACTTGCCATCCCTGAGACCCCAAATGCTCTGATTCTACAGGATCTGAGGCCCTTTAAAGCCCTTGATGCCTTGGGCTCCCAGATCTGCAGATACCAGGTCCCTTGGGTTCTTCAGGGCCACTATGACTCCACCTAGAGCCACAAGCCTAAAGATTCTAACCCCAAGCCCACTCATCTCACAGTCATCTTGTAACACACCTCCAGAAGCCCCAGAACCACAGATCCTCCCTCCCCAGGCATTCTTCGGGTATGCCAATTACTCATCCTCTCACAGTCCTGCCCGGCAGCTGGGAGAAAGGAGTGGGATAGAGTGTGTAACACCTACCATAGATGCTGCCCCTGGCTGTGCAGGGGGGGCCAGGCCAGGGCCAGTGGCCACAGTGGAGACCAGGCTGGGCTGGGAAGCAGGAGGCGGCTTTGGGGCACCAGGGGGTCCTGGGGGTAGTGGTGGAGCTGGGGCCTGGCTGAAGGGGGGACCTACTCCTGGAGCAGCTTGCTGGAGAGCGTTGATGGGTGAAACTGTGGGAGAGACCAAGGAAGTAGTAGGGGACAGGTGTGCAAAAAGGGTCCTGTCCACCCCTCCCACCCTGCAGCCTCGCCCCTGAACTCACAGCGTGGGCCCAGCCCAGCCTTCTGGTTCTTGGCAGCCTCTACTGCATTCTGGGCAGCCACCTGAGCTGCGCTTAAGTTCCCAGGGACCTGGGTTAAAGGGGAGGGGATGGGTGAGGATCATGTGCCCCCAGTCCTGAGTCTCACAAGGCCATACCACCCAGGTCCCACAGGGCACAGCCACTCTAGCTGGGGTAGCTGAGGAGCCCACAACCCAAGAGATGTGACTCAGAGCTTCTAGAGTCCCACCCTCCTGATGTCCCAAGGAGAACTCCCACCACCCCACAAGCCCCAATGAGGTCTCTTCCAGGAAGCTGCAGCTTCTCCAAGGCCCCAGTAACATGGTCCTTCCTGCTGATGTTCATACCTGGTACTGTGGGGGGACGGGGGGTAGCGGCTGCTGGGGGGCTGCTGAGAGAGTGGCACCCGAGGGTGCAGTGGGAGGCAGGGGGACCGGCTGCTTTGGCTGGAGGGGGCCTGAGGCCGAGCCACCCCCGACTGGGAACAAGACAGATGAGCATACCCCCATGAGAAGGGGTTCCAGGTGAAGACAAGGAAAAGAAATCCAAAATCCAAGTCAGAGGGAGCTGGGGAACCCCCCCCCGCCCTGGCCCCAAACCTCCCATCCCTGCCTGCACCTTGGCCTCACCAGGCAGGACAAGCCCCCGCACCAGCACCATGTGCCTGGGGTCCTGGCTCACATCTGCTGGTGGCTGCAGTGGCTCCAGCAAGGCTGGGGGAGCTGCTTTCTCGAACAGAAGCCGCAAGGCAGGAAGCTTCCGGGGAGACACAATGGAGAAATGGATCCCCCGCTGTAGGGGAGGGGATAGGCAGTTAGGATGGGGCACTGCCACTGGGATGCTAGAGCTGGTCCCAGGCTACTACCATTCATTTTGTTAGTGGACAGCCACAGACCTATGACCACAATTCCCATCAGGCTTCAGGGCAAGGACTGTGGGACCCGGTTTTAGCTGCCCCAGGAGACTCTACCTTACAGTTCTTTCACAGAGAATAAGCAGAGGTGGCCACAAGTCCATGATGATTTTGACCTAGGAGTCTGGGTCCCCAGGCCCTTCTCCCCTAGACCCGGGGATCCAGGCCCTCATCCCCTTCTCCCTCAGACCCAAGGGTCTACCCCCAGCCACTCTTCCCTCAGACCTGGAGTCAGGGCCCCCAGCCCCTCCTCCCTCAGACTCAGGGGTCCTTACCTCCCCAATCTTCTGCACGAGACTCTCAGTTGTGTACCCAGAATATGTAGTACTCTCAACAGCAGGCAACAGGTATGGGGGTGAGTTGCAGATGAGGAGGCAGACTCGGTGTGTCTGGCCACTGCCACAGACAAGAAATGATATGGGCTGGGCACATTTCTCCTGTAATCCTAGCACTCTGGGAGGCCGAGGCAAGTGGATTGCCTAAGCTCACAGGTTCAAGATCAACCTGAGCCAGAGTGAGTCTTCATCTGTAAAAATAGCTGGGCAATGTGGCGGGCACCTGTAATCCCAGCTACTTGGGAGGCTGAGGCAAGAAAATCGCTTAAGTCTAAGAGTTTGAGGTTGCTATGAGCTGTGATACCACAGCACTCTACCCTGGGCAACAAAGCGAGACTGTCTCAGAAAAAGAAAAGATATAAAGCAAGCACAACAGGGCCTCTGAGAGGGAACAAGAGGCAGCACAAAGCATAGCGGAGGTGTAAGCACTCTGCCCCCTGGGGAGTCAGGAGTGACATCCCCATTTCACAGCCAAAAATATAGAGGCTATAAGAGGTTCCAAGACTCACTCTCAGTCTCCCAGCAGGCAGGGGCAGCAGGAAGGAGACCCAGAGTGGGCAGAAGTGAGGGCACTGAGAGCAGGCATTGGGCCAGCCTCACCTGAGGACACACCTTTGGCCTCCCAGCTAAGAGTTTTCAGGGACATAGAGCCCACCACACCTATACTGTGAGGTGTAAGGTGGGGTCACTCGACAGGCAAAGTGCTACCAGACAGTGGGAATAGAGGGACACAGTCCCAGACAAAGGAGGCACTCACATCTGCTCCCGCATCTTCTTGAAATCATCAAACAGCTGCAAGGCGGTGCTGAGGCCTTCTGCGATGAGGCTGCAGCTCTCACCACCCCCGCCCATGAACCTGCAGGGGGCCAGGTGGTCAGGCCCCAAGGGCTCTCCAGTGTTTCCACTGTCCCAGCCCCCAGGCCACACTTGCAGAGCCTGCTCCCATGCTGTCCTTCATTTCACACCAGGCTGTGCACCTTGGGACTATGGGACACTGTTGAATTCCCTGCTCTCTCTCTGGTGCTGTGCTAACACCAGACCCACAGAGGGCAGGGGACATTTGCTGTCTTAATCATGAGGCCTGGAAGGGAATGGGAAAAGGCCTAGCACACCAACCCTGAGATCCTGTGCTGTGTCCCAACTCTGGTGTAACTAACTCCTTGTCCACTCTCCTGACATCCCTTTCCAACTCTGGAACATCTGCTCCTTTTTTTCTTTTGAGACAGAGTCTCACTCTGTCATCCTCAGTACCGTGCCATGGCCATAGTGTACAGTAACCTCCAACACTTGGGCTCAAGAGATTCTCTTGCCTCAGCCTTCCAAGCAGCTGGGACTCTAGGCGCTGGATACACTGCCCAGCTATTTTTAGAGATGAGTTCTTGCTCTTGCTCAGGCTGGTCTCGAACCTGTGAGCTCAGGGCACTCCACCCACCTCAGCCTCCCTAGGATCCTAGGATTACAGGTGCAAGCTATCTCAACCAGCCTGCTCCATCTTTAAAATTAGTCCTGGCCTCAACTGCCCATTCCTAGACAGAGGCCAGGGCCACTTTTGTCCTCCCACAGTGTTACAGGTTGAAATGTGTTCCCACTGAAAAGCCAGGTTGAGCTCCTAACCTCATTTGTAAGTAGGATCTTCACATAGGTAATCAAGTTAAACTAGGGGGCCCTAATCCAACAAGGCTGGTATCCCCATAAAAAGGAGAAATTTGGACACAGACAGACACACAAGGAAGATATGAAGACACAGAAGAGTGGTCATGGGAAGACCAGGGTGATGTTAATACAAGCCAGGGACATCTAGGGCCACCAGCAGCTGGAAGAAGCCCCTACAACTATCAGAGGGAAGACCACTCTGCCACCCTGATTTTAGACTTCTACCCTCCAGAACTTGAAGGCAACACATTTTTGTCCCTCTAACATACTTTTTTTTTTTTGCAGGTTTGGCTGGGGCCGGATTTGAACCCACCACCCCCGGCATATGGAGCTGGCACCCTACTCCTTGAGCCACACACGCCACCCCATAACACAATTTTTAATACTTTGCTAGGGCAGCCCTAGGAAGCTAATATACACGGACACTCAAGTTTCTCCTCTACCTGATCTATAGTGACCAGCACCCATGGCAACACAGGGTGGGGCTCAGAGAAGACCTCTACTCAAACACAGCTGTTGTTCCCATGTTTCTCAGGTCAGGTGGTCAAGAGGCTGACCTTTGCTGCAGGGGACATGTGAGGAGCCCTAAGGGCCCTTTCCCCATGAACTGTCGTCTTGGAGTCCATGTCTGCTCCTACCTCCTACATAGACATGTCCTTGCTCATCCCCAGCCTTGCCACCACAGTCTGGCACATAGGAGGCCTTAGAAAATGTATATTGTGGCTCAGTGCCTGTGGCTCAAGTGGCTAAGGTGCCAGCAACATACACCTAAGGTGGCAGGTTCAAATCCAGCCCCGGCCCACCAAACAACAATGATGGCTACAACCAAAAAATAGCCGGGTGTTGTGGCAGGCACCTGTGGTCTCAGCTACTTGGGAGGCTGAGGCAGGAGCTGGAGGTTGTTGTGAGCTGTGATGTCACAACACTTTACCCAGGGGGACAGCTTGAGGCTCTGTCTCAAAAAAAAAAAAAGAAAAGAAAAGAAAAGAAAATGTGTATTGAATAAACAAGTAGCTATGAACCCAACCATGTCCATCAAGTCTCAACAAACCCAAACCCTTTGCCCAGCACCTGAGGCCCTCCATATCCCAAGCCCTGTCCCCTGCCCAAGTCCTCTTCTGTGTACCTGCACTGTGCCCCAATCCCCATTCTTGCCCAGATGGAAATCCAGCCATCTTGTGTCACCCAGCCCTGCATGCCTTCTTCCAAGAAGCCTTCCCCATCTACCACCTGATTTTTATTTATTTATTTATTTATTTATTTATTGCAGTTTTTGGCCAGGGCTGGGTTTGAACCCGCCACCTCCAGTATATGGGGCCAGCACCCTATTCACTGAGCCACAGGTGCTGCCCCTACCACCTGATTTTAGTGCCCACCAATGATCACATCATAGGTCATTTGATACTATGGCTGTCAAGCTTCTCTCCACAGCCCACTGTACCCCTTCCAACCTATACAGCCCTCAGTAATAGAGATAAAGGTTCCTGAACCACCTCTACAATGTGCCCAGGACACAAAAGACCTTGGGTACCAGCATCTGGCAGTGCCAATGCAGCCGAGCCCTCCCTTCCTACATGAGGTTCCACTCATGGATCCCAAGCCTTGCCACTTTCAGTCCTCACTGCGGCTGCTCCATACCCCCTACCCACCCATTCCTCAGCCTCACTCCTCCTCACCACCAAGACAATTTGGCACAGAATCATGGTAGAACTCATTGATAGAACCAGGACCTGCACCCAGCCTGCCACCCAGTTTCTTGCCATGGAGGATACTGTGGGCCTCTCTGAGACTCCAGCCAAGAGAGCCCTGGTGAGACCTGGGGGATGGGGAGCAACTGCATCATACTTTCAGGTCTCCTCTGGGGCACAAACGTTTTAAAACGAGACAGAGGTGGTAGTTGCACAACATTCTGAATGAACTAAATGTTAACAAATTGTTATTCTTAAAATGATTTCTTTCATGGAACATGAATTTCACTTCAATTTAAAAAAGAAACTTGGGCGGCGCCTGTGGCTCAAAGGAGTAGGGCGCCAG